TCCTTTAATACCTCTATAACTATACTATATCCCTAAACCGTACCACTAAGGTAGGGTTAGGTTGCCCCTAGGGGCGAAAACCATGGCTGCCCCTAGGGGCAAAGAACAAAATCCTCCACTAGCAAGAAAATTGGCGGAAGTTAATAGGCCTTGGCATCACTTACCCCTAGGGGTAAGTGGCCTATACTAGAGTTGCGCATTAGCAAAATCTTAACCTAATTAATAAATAACCTCTTATTATTACAGACGCCACTCTACCTAAATGCTCTACCCTAATAAAAGTAAGACTACTATGAAGCGTAAAGGCGTAGATATCTCTACTAGAATAGGGAAAAGGTAACGTACGGCTGGTAAGGAACTTAGGGAGATAGACTCCATCTATAACTAAGCTATACCATACCTACTAGTAACAGCCATATTTCCAATTAACGCACTCACTACAGAATAGAGTATTAGGGTAAATAGACCCATTAATAAAGCCTATAAGTAACACCTCTACTAGATTTTTAATAAGGTAGGCGTTCTACGGCGAGGTATAAGCTACTAATTATAGGTTACTTACTCTAAGGCGCACGTACAGCAGATACTAGACTACCTAAAAGAGGAGGACTAGGCTAAGACTACTATCACCATAGGTAAGAGCGTTAGGGAGGGCGATTTAAAGTAGCCATTATTTAAAGGTTAGGAGAGCGTAATTAGGGGTAAGGTAGAGCTTATTACTAGCCACTATTAGATTAAAGCCTTTAAGGAATATCTACGATAACGTTAGCTACTAGAGGAAGAGTAGTGGTGGGTATACAGCATCTATAATAAAGGTTTTAGCCTCTAGACGTGCCAGCCAAGGTAATAAGCTAACCTAAAAGGTAGACACGCTTCCGCCACATTTATAGATCCAGCTTTATACTAATTAAGAAGATATCATCCTTCCTAATAACCATGGTTAGATATGGACCGAGCTAGCGACTTTAGCATCCGACAATGGCCAGCTATTCCAAGGTTTAAATAGGTTAGTCGAGCAGGAGATACTAGAGAAACTTAGGCTTAGTAGTTAGGTAAAGTTCCTAGTGTGACGGCTGGCTACGCTATAGAAAAACCTTAGCTAGAGACTAATAATTACCTAATAGTGCCACACCTTAATTAGGTAGGTAACTTTTAATATCTCTACTTTTAAGTAGATGGCAAGCTATAGGATTAATA